GACTTACAGTTATTTTGGGTGAAAGGGAGTAATACTGTTTCTGTAGCAAAACAGTAGTGGGGAGCAGACACTCCTTGGAGGGCATGGGATTCTGACCCCACTACCTTCCTTTACCTGTCTTCCTTCTTACCTGCCTCCAAACCGCTTTCCAGAACTTCCTTCTGTCACAGACTCCTGGGATCCCACCTCTCCTTCCCCCCATATGCCGAGGCACATTGGCCTTCTGCGTACACAATTCAATTACTTTGTTGTTTCTTTTATGTGGGATGGCTTTCCAGCTCGGCATGCCAAGTTTAATTACGGAGCGGGAACTCGATATGCGCATATGGAAACTATCAGTATTCCATAGGAGAATAAACTTGGTTTATCCATTCAGCTATTGATGAAATGACTTGGAGGGCAATTTCCATACTTTGTGCTGAGCATATGGTATCAAAATTCTGCTTGGATTCTCTCCATCTCTTTTTTTACTTTTTAATCTGTAAAAGATGAAATCATTTAGAAGGTTCAAAGGAAACCTAAACAGCAAAGCAGAGACTCCAGCTAACGGTCTAAAGTCCCTCCCCAAATGCCTGCAAGCCCCACTGGAATAGGCTAGGCTGTGACTCGATGAATTCAAGGTATCCAGCCACTAAGTAAAGCGTGTAAACTGTGCTGGGAGTTGGGAATATAAAATAAATAGGACAGTATTCTTGCCCTTCATACACTTGGTGTGTACTCCTGGGCGAAACCCACAGAGACTCCGACCGCTAAGCTTCACTCAAATGCACGCATTAATTTCGTGAAGCAGGCTTGTGGTGATAGTAGCCTGGACGAGAAGAGAGAGGGGATCACGAGAGAGCACACCTGTAGGACGTGGCAGAGGAGGAAGGGAGAGGCAGCGATGTGTCGCATGGGTTTCTGGCTTCCATAGAGAATCCTTGGGGAACACGTTATGAGCAAATGTGTTAACTTGTATATATTCTTATACATTCTTATCTAATAATTTCCAGCAGAACATTAAGGATCCTATGTGGAAAATAATAGTAATTAGCTCCCTAAAACTGTTTTTTAATGAAATTGTTTTTATTAATATCCAATGCAATTCTGTTCATGTTCCACTCAAATCTGGCCAGTGACAGCAACAATAAACCAGCACATCGTAGTCTACACATCTAGCTAGGCCATCTACATGGTCACAACTGAGTTGAATTGCTTCATAATTTTGGTCATTGACATAAAGCCAGATTATAGGCCCTGCCACTTCTCACAGTCTCATCATTCGATATTTCAAGCTAGTGCCTCATAATCCACCCCTAAAAGCAGTTGGAAGGAGTGCTGAGTTGACAGCTATGTCTTGGACATGAGGAGACAGGGAAGCATCTGTGAGCCGCATCGCTGAACAGAGGCAGGTCCTGGAGGCTCCACTCTCAGGAGCTGGGATCGGTCTTCATCCTCCATGAGCTGGGCCTACCACACCCCTGGCACATGTGACACTCTGTCCTGTTCATACCAGCACCAGGACACCAACCCAGACACAGAGCCAGCTTTCAGACACCTTTACCACTTCGAGATTTTGGAAAAGTAACCCGCATCTCCACAGAAAAGATGACATGTTGACTGGTGATATGCTCAATGGTACAGTGTTTGTCTTCATGAACAAGGCCTGGGTTTATCCCCAGCAATACACTGTACACACAGACCGACACAACACACACAGAAGGAGAGGAGAGAAGATAGAAAGTGAAGAGAGAGCAGTGTCCAAAAAGTGATACAACAAAAGATGCTGCCTACAATGGAAAATGAAGTCATCTGTCTTTCTGGTGTTGGTAGAAGGGAGGTGTGTGAGTCAGGGGGAAAGGGTAGAAGATACTAAATAATAGAAGCAGCCATGATTGCTTTACATATTTTCTGTTACATTCCTATGATGTTACAAGCATAAAAAGTTCTAAGTATTGCTCATTGTAGGAAATAAAAAAGATACATTGTGAATAAAGAAATCTAGTTGGACTGGGAATTTGGCTTAAGTGATAGGTACTTGCTTGCAAGCTTAAGTTCATTACCCAGTTCTGACAAATAAGTTAATAGCACTGACTGAGAAAGCGGAAACAATGGTGAAATTATTGTGTTAGGCTTCAGGTTAGACTGGCAGAACAGACACAAAGTTGGTTACCTTTTTCCCCCTACTGAAAACACTAATGTGGTATTAGAACAATAGATTGTTCAAGGCATCAGGACCCAAAGATACAAAAATAAAAATTAAACTGAGGGGAGGAATAACTAGATCTTACTTTTTAATAAACTAGACCTAGGATAAAGGAATCCACAAGACTAGTAAAGGGAACTGCACAGGAAAGAGTCAACACAACTATTAGGAAAGTCTGGTTGCATGGAGAATTTACCCATGTTCTCTTCCCATTGCTGATGGTGCCTGGTACCCTTTGCTTGGAATAAGTGACAGCAGAGACTCTGGCCATGCTAAGTCCTGGGAATGCATTAGCTGCTTGAAGAAGCCAGAAGTGGTCTTGGCGACCCTCAGTTCAGGGATGATAAGAATAATTTCCTCTTGTACCCTAGACTTCAGAGAGTAAAGAAGCAATGACCCTCCTTTCTCTCTCAGTGGCAAAGAAAAGTTTGTCTTTTATTTCAGACATTTTCAGACCTGAAGATTTGTTTTCCTCCTCACCAAGGAGCCAACAGAGAATGGCAATTTTGTTCTCTGGAGATGAAAACAGAGAGTTCCTGGACAGCAAGGCGCTAGACTCAGTTGAACAGGGACTGTGGGACTAGAAAGGGTTAATGAAGAAAATGGCTTTCTTGTGGGCACCAGCAGCTGAGCTGTCTTCCTCCTCTGTCTCTCTGAGGAGACTCAGCCTCTGCCACGCAGGCAGGGAGGAGGGCTGGAAAGTCTTCAAGGTCCTGAGGAGTCTAGCAAGCTTCTGGTCAAACAGTATTTTTTATCAACATGAAACACTCATTCAGTCCTAGTTAAGTCATTCTCAGAGCTTTTTTTTTCTACAATAAGAGAACTCCTTAACTTTTTCCCTAATTCTCCGTACTGAATATTCTTAAACTTATATCCAGAGAGCTAACATCTGGTATACGCTGTTTTCTAGTATGTACAGTAATATTGGTTAGATCACAATAGAGTATTTGCACATATCAAAAACTGAGCACTTACCCATCCTGGAGGGATTAACTTGTTTCTTGTCTCATCGGGAGGGGATCCTTCTTTAGTTCTATGAACTTACCATTAATTCACCATCCAGCAGCTATTCAGTCTGGACAGGGGTGATACTACTCACAAATGGCTAAAGAAATCCCACTGGGGAATAGGGAACCTACTCCAAACTAGCTTGGCTGCTTCCTAAACTTGGCAAATATGGTTTCCTGGGTTTCTCTGCACCCAAGTGCTGGGGTTCCTTTCCCTTATTCCCTGTGTGCAGACTTATTTCCTGCATGACAAGTCCTCGTCTTCTGGATTGAGCTTGGTTTTGCTGGCGCACATCCTGCAGTATCCTTCTGATAATGGGTGTACACAAGGCACATGAGTGACGCATCTTCTTCCTCATCACCATGTTTATACTACCCTCCTCCCCCGCATTTGACTTAAAATTTGGTAGCAGTCTTAGGCTGCAATAAGTATACTCAGAATTGAGTATAATTACCTACGAGGGATTCCTTTGAGAAATAGAAAGTTTGCTCTGGGTTGTTTTTATTTTTATCTCATTTACTTGTGACATTAAAAAAGATCTGTCAGAAACTTATAGAATCTTTTACACCATGCTGAAACAATGATGAACTTAAATATGAGTGATTTTTGTGGACTGTTTAATTTACAAATTAAGACTTTTGGTTTAGAAATTTCTGGATGATTTTGTTAAGTTCTTCAGCATTTATTTTCCTCCGATTACTTACTCAAACTTCCTTGGGATGGACCTGTGCAGTCAATTTGGAATTTCTTTTCTCTAGTCTCATTTTTCATCTCTTTTTTCTTTATGCTCTGCTTTCTAGGACATTTTCCTACCAGCACCTTCCAAAAGTATTCATAGGATTTTCATCTCTTTTCATTAAATTTTCAAGAGCCCATGTAATCTTTTATGGTTTTTCATTTCCTTCAGTCAACAACATATTCTACCTTTGGTTTCCTGGTTACACAAAATTATGTAATTTAAATACATTGATGACTTTTGAGATTTTTTTTCTCATGGCTCCTATAACCTCCAACTTGCTGGTTTCTCTTAGCTTGCTAGTGTCACTGGCTTTTACAATGGATGCTTCCTTCTGATATGTGGGCATTCGTGGTTTTCTGCTTATAGTTAGAGTGGAGGGCTGGAGTGTTTAGTAGGGAGTTTTGGCCCATCGTGTGAAAATTGGTTTTTTCGGTTAGAAAAACAGTATCTTAGATCTTTACTAAGTTCCCGGGACCCTCCTACCTGAGGTTATAAAGGAAGCATCTGGGAGGGAAAGGAGAGAAGAGATTGTGAAAATCACTGTTAAGCAAGGGAGGAATGATGGAAAAGTTACAGTGTAATAGACACCAGGTACTGTATTGTCAGATTGGCAACTGGACACTCCAAACTTTGAATCTGTGCTTCCAAGATTTATAATATCCATTGTTGTGAAATTGTATTATGTTGCCTAAGGACCATAAACTGGTTCCCTTATGGAATCTTCTAAAGAAAATAGCCAAACTGAACATCAAAATAACCAGCATCTTTCACTGTAAGTGAAAGGAAGACGATTTTATGGAGTCGGGATGTTGTTTCTGATGTGTGACTGGTTTTTGTGTCATTCTCATTGTTTTCTGGTGAGAAAACTGCAGATTCCTTCCCCAGCCAATTGGTCCAGTGCATTCTAGGAGATGTCAAGTCCAATGTGAACGTGCTTTTAATTGTCTCAGGATATGAAGGGTCTAGAGAAACTTACTTTCACTTAAAAAAAAAAAAGAAAAAAGCAGCCCCCGAGATGACTACATTCACGCCTCACTGTGAGACACGCTGTTAATTTTTCTCTCCCAGGAGTACCAGCCCTGTAACACCAACGCGTGTCCGGAGCTGAAGAAGACCACACCCTGGACACCCTGGACCCCAGTCAACATCTCAGACAACGGCGGCCACTACGAGCAGCGCTTCCGCTACACCTGCAAAGCCCGCCTGCCCGACCCGAACCTGCTGGAGGTCGGGCGGCAGAGGATCGAGATGCGTTACTGCTCCAGCGACGGGACCAGCGGCTGCTCCACGGATGGTGAGCCTGACCCGCTGCACACACCCATGACAGCATGGGAGAGGTTATGGAAGAACCAACAGCACATTTCCTTAGTGTTGCTATGGCCATAACCGTCTTTATTGCCATGATCCCCGCAGAGACAGGACTTCAGGGAATGGTTCTTGTTGTAAGAATTTCATTTCACACCACAGCTCCCCTATTTCATGAGAACACTTTTGAAAACCCCAAGGAAAGACCTGAGGGCCTGGATAGTACACAGCCCAGTCTATACGTACACATATGCATACATGCCTATGAAGTAGGTCTAATTTATAACTTAGATACAGTCAGAGTAATAATGATGAGTAATAAAACATTTATGAAATCTATACCGTAACTAATGCTATGTGAATGTTGTCTCTTGCTGTAAGAGTCAGGACAGACATTGGTATTTTGGGATCCCGACTGACTACAGGTAGCTGAAACAAGTGGAAATTTAATTAGTGATAGGGAAGGAATTCTGTATGGAGATGGTATTGTGAAATCAGCTTTCCAAATAGCATGGTGCTTATTGTAGACTCAGAATAGTTGGAGCCAGTGTTGTTAGAATGAAAGAGTAGATGGAGGAAGAATTGGGAGCCATCCACAGATGCTCCGGCATTAAAATTAAGCTTAGTTGTCCTCTTAATCCCAAGATGGGCAAAGGTGGTAGAAGTGCATTTCATTGTTCATACCTATGAAAAGATCTGTCTAGCAGCAAAGGAAGTGGAGCATGGGTAGAGCATCACCCAGCAAGACAAGGTTCTGAGTTCAATCCCTAGCACCACCAACCAAGCAATAAACACTTAAGTAAGAGACTAGGCCCATTGCCATCATTTGAGAGAGTACCTGGGAAATAGTAAAAATGCACGAACGTTATTTCCACCTAAAATTCACATTAAATTGATACTGCTTTATTTCATTTGCTAAGTCTGACAGCCAGATCTACAGTTCACAGAAGCAGCAGCTGCTGTGGCTTCTCATCATTGGCTCCCTTGTTTCAAAACAGGCTAAGAACTATTTTGTTTCTTGTGTCATACAAGAAAAAGTAGAAAGGGATTATGGTTCTATAAATAAGTTTATTCTTTTCCCAGGATTTACACATTTTTATTCTTTTCATGCTCAGTTACTTATAAAGCCTATTTATTTATTTATTTATGTTAAATGTTAATACAAAGTAGGAAATTATTTAATACACATTTATAAAGATGTTTTATATGTTCTCCAAAATTGTGTCATTGGCCTGGCTTAGACAGAAGTTCATTCTTCCTGTCCATTAATGACATTAAGTAATAATGGCTATCTTCGTATTTTGGTGTTGATATCATGAAAAGTTAAAAATAGGCCTTGTTTTTCCTTTTGACTGTGAGAAATGAGGCTTCACCAAGCCTATTTATTCTTTATTGATTACTCACAAGTAGTGGCTCATCAGAAAAAAGCACTTGCAGTGCATTTGCTCTGTAGAACATGCTGCCCCCACCTCAGAGGCCGGTGTAAGTGGCGGCCAGGCTGCTCAGCCATGTGTGGAATCGGTGTCTTATTTCCTCCCTCATGGCCTTGAGCAGTAAAATGCAGAACTTCCTTCACAGTGTGGGAGGTGTTTGTTAAAACTGTGTCACGGTGACCACATTTGAGAAAACTATTGAATGCTTTTTCATATTGTGAGCAGGGAGGCATTTTCATCAAAGCAAACACAAAGTCAATGACTTCTGTTAAAACGCTCTGAACAGACATGGCACCTAGTAAATCTTGAAAGGCTGTTCACGGGACTCCTGTAAGACAGCTACATCCACAGTGCTGTCCCCCAAATGCTGCTGTTACTACTGCTCCATTGGTTCTGGGGAAAACGTATTTTGGTATTGCATATGCTGAGACGGTGGGGTACGCAGACGCCTCTGGCCTGTGGCTAAGTGATTCAAGGACACAAACGTGCTCACTTCTAGGCCTTGGGGCCCGTGGAGCAGACAGGTGTCTGGTGTCCTGCGATTCACGCATTAGTTCACACTTGACAGGCTATCTGGTGAAGGAACAGGTTTGAGGCATGGCTAAATTATTCCCCCATTGTTCTAGGTGGCTCTCCTCCTGGAAAACACCACCCTGTGGGATATGAGGTAGAATTCCCAAGGGAAACGAGAGAAGTGTATTTCCTTAAGAAGTAGGGGGAAAATGAACTACAAATAGAAGACCATTATGTAAGGTTTGCTACGCTCGTGGAGTTCTTATATGCACCCTTGTTGAATAGCAACTGCAGGGAGGAAGCTTGAATTACAGGGGGTTGTAACTCAATGGCAATTTTTTTTGGCTTTTGAAGTGCAAAAAGGGGTTCAATTGAATTTGAGAAAGTAATTCCAGACATAACACATGCCAGCTATACAGGGGAAAAAATCAGAATGCGCTCTCATGGGGCCGAGGACTGCAGTAGAATAACACTCTGGTCCTTTGGCAGGGCTTTCTGGAGACTTCCTGCGTGCAGGGAGATACTCTGCCCACACTGTCAATGGGGCGTGGTCAGCCTGGACCTCCTGGTCCCAGTGCAGCCGGGACTGCAGTCGGGGCATTCGGAACAGGAAGCGAGTGTGCAACAACCCGGAGCCCAAGTATGGGGGACTGCCCTGCCTGGGCCCATCGCTGGAATACCAGGAATGCAACATATTACCCTGCCCAGGTAAGCCACCTGTCCTAGCAAAGACAAGTCCAGAAGAGCCAAGCACCTGAGACCATTAGTGTACTGCCACTCACGCAGCTTGTTACCTAAGGTGACTGAAAGGGAAGAAAGAGACAGGGATAGAGAAATAGAGAAAGGTGGGAAAGGGACATGACAGACAGACAGACAGACAGAGAAAGAGAGAGAAGGACACAGGTCTGACGGAGGGGTCTTTGAGTCTTAACCCACCCTAGATACGTGACTTGAATGCACACCCCAGATTTTTTGTTCAGCCTCTTTTCAAGAATGTAGCCTCCATTCTCTATGTCTGAAGAGTGTGACTTCCACCACAGTCTGGAGTAAAGCCTCTTCCCTTCATGTTACATTGGTGTCTAGACCTTATATTACAGTCATTATTTCTCTCCCAATTTTAAGAAAGTATCTTCCAGTGCACGGCTAGTGGCCCAGTGACTGGGGGGAGGTTGGTCTCCAGGGATGTGTGGTATCCCTGATTCAAACGTCAGCCACCTTCCAGAGCTGAGGGCACCCACACATCCCTGAGCTGGCCTCATTGGACCCAGTCCCCATCCGGAGTCATGAGTGCCACAAGCTTATCTCCAGGGGACGCAGAACTGAATGTCTCTGCCTTCTTCCTGAAACTTGACTGTCATGATACTGAATTCCTGGGCAAGCACTGGGCATTAAAATGAGCTAGATGAGCCCTTTGGGTCCTTTTGGTCCTCCCTACCCTCAAGACTCTTTTCTCTTTTCCTCTTAATATTCTGACTCTTGTCTTTGGAGGCCTCCCTTCCACCACTCTTGAGTGGGGCCTGACTTTCATCACTTTGAGTTCTAAGAGCACGTAACTTCCCTCTTGAAGGACTTACCATGCATTTGTTAATGGGCGGATGGTTGGATGGATGATTCGATATATGGATGGCTGGTTGGATGGATGGCTGAATGGATGTTTGATTGATAGACGGACAGACAGATGGTGGGTGGATAAACACGTAGATAATACAAGAAACAGTTCCTGGTTTTGCAACCCAGCTCTGCATTGATGCCGCTAATTGTACAGCTGTGCCACTCCTTCTGGAACATCTCTGCCTGAATTTCTGCCATCTCAGGAGACTCCTCCTCTCCCCACCCAGCTTTCCCAGCCTAAGCTAGTGCCAAAAGACTGGAAAAGGTCACTGAGCTGTTCTTTCCCACAGCCTTAGTGGAAGGGTTCCCCCCCGCCCCCGGGGTTCTTGGCGAGAGCCATGAGTGATAGCACAGATTAGCGTCATGCTGTAAATCCCGCAAGGAAAGGCCGTGTGGGAGTGTCAGGCCTCGACCCACACCTTCCCAGGCTCCAGACTCAGAAGACCAGAGTTTAGCTGCTGCCTAGTGCCTGTGTGCAGAGTCCCTGTTCGGCTCAGAGTCACTCTGTTAGCGTTATCTGGGTAGAGTATTTATTTTCATTGACATTCTGGTCAAGCAATAACTATGTATACATGACCTGAATATCTTGAAATAGCTCTGTTCCCATTTTCCTTCTAAAGCCAAGATTCCACAGTGGTGTGCAGTTACTCAGAATGGCTTTGTCGATTCCACAAGGGAATGGACAAATTTAGGGTTCAGTGGTAGAAAGGTCAACTCTTCCTACTCCTAAAAATATGGGAGAATACAACCCAGAAATGGGGAGGGGCGTGGGAAGTCCCAGGAGGCAGGCTGACCTGTGCAACCTTGGGTGATGGGTCGTAGGGCTATTTTGACCACATTTAGGTCATTCTCCTCCCTATAAATTACCTCCTCTTTTATGGATAGCAGTACATAAATACAAAGGGACATTGTAGCTTCCTTTTTTAAAAAAATAAGCTATTTAACCAAACAGTGAAAAGTGTCATCTTCACTCTCATGGATACGAAAACTGTAAGTCACCATCACACTAAAATGATCATTTCTTTACCTTCCAGGGTTAGATGTCTGGTACCAGCTCCTAAATTAGCTCCAAAAGTGAAGAACCAGTGACTTATTCTCCATTGACCTAAAAATGGCAGGAAGTGTGTGTACCCCAAAATGGGAATGCACCTGGTTCTGTGTTTAGCCTTTCCTCTTCTGATTCTCAGTGAGTGAAGACATTTGCTCTATGACCTGTCTTCTCTGGGCCTTGGGTCATTCATTTCTAGAATATTCCTCAAGGTAGTTGTGAGGATAAAAGGGAACTGTGCCTTTTGTTAGTGTGGTAGTGGTTGCTCTAGCCTCATTCCTTCCTTAGTGTGTGCCTGTTGGCCAACGGCTCAGTTTGGTTTTGTTCCTTTCATTCCGCAAGCCTTATTTCCCCACAGTGATGTCTGTGTGTTCACCCACAGTGAGAACAATTTCATTACTCCCTGTAATTTCCACTTTAGAACTCTGCTGTCCTTGCTGAGATGAACTGATAGTACATCGTCCAATATCCTTCTCCACCCAGTGCAAGCCTCCACCATTCTCCTCTCCAGAATCACTGCTCCAAGAGGTAGTCTGAACCCTAAAACACAAGGACAAATTTGAAGATGGAAGACAGGTTTACAACTGATCTGGGGCCATTACAAATTTGAAGATGGAAGACAGGTTTACAACTGATCTGGGGCCATTACAGACTAGTCAGGCTGGCTCAGGGCGTGAGACAGTGCTTGAAATCCCCCTTTGAGTTCCTTTGCTACCAAAACCAGGTACTAAATACACTCCTGAAAACAATGAAATAAAAGCGGATGAATCTCCAGTGTGATCAGCAGGCAGCTTCTGCTCCAAGTACTCCCTCATCCTGCTCATACTTGGATCAAGAGATCCCAGTGCCCAGAAGAAAGGTTTGAGACAAGATGAGATGCGAATGGCGGGAAGTACTAGTTGGAATCTAGATAAGAAGAAATACTCTTTGAAATAATATGTAATAACTTATGTAAACCAGTCTCTTCATATGAGGTCATTACAATTTAAATGATTTTGAAATGCTTAGGATAAGCATATTAATCTTTTGGTGGTTTTTTAACCATTGCAGGAAAATAAATGGAGCTAGAGATTGTTAAGTGAAATAACCCAGAGTGAGAAAGACAAATACTTTGAGTCCTCATCCATATTCAGCATCTAGACCTCTCCCCACAAGTGGGCAGCTGCAGTGAGGACAATGTGGTAGGGGAGTTGAATCTGATTGAAGTGCTTCTCACACATGTATGAAAGCAGAATGAGACACAGTAAAAATTGTTCAAAAGACGGAAAAGTGGGATAAGAAAAAGTAGCAGCAGTCATTAACATAATGCACATAGGGAAATACCACATAAAGAAATAACACAATGAAATCCCCTTTTTCAATTCATATATGATCATATAAAATATTTACCAGGAGATCTACTCTCTGAATAATCTTTTCAGTGCACAACAAAGCCTTATTTAACTATAGGCCCAACACTATATAGCTGGTCTCCAGAACTTAACATCTTGAATAACTGAGACTTTACAGCAACTTCCCTGCCCCTGGAAACCAAAGTTTTCTTTTGGTTTCTACTAGAAACATAAGCCAGGCACCAGTGGCTCACACTATAATCCTAGCTACTGAGGAGGCTGAGATCTAAGGTTTGTAGTTCAAAGTGAGCCTGGCCAAGAAGGTCTGTGAGACTCTTATCTCCAATTAACCACAAGAAAACTGGAAGTAGAGCTGTGGCTCAAGGTGGTAGAGTGCTAGCCTTAAGTGAAATAGCTCAGAGACAGTGCCCAGGCCCCACATTCAAGCCCCAAGACCAACAAAAAGTAAAAGAAACAGAGGAACACAGCATGTTTCAGATGCTCTATGTAAGTGGTCTAGTGCAGTACATACTTTTGCCTACCTGTTGTGTGCCTGGCTTATTTCCCTCAGCCTACTATAACCCAGATGCATCTCTGTTGTTGCATATAACACATCTCCTTTCTAAAGACTCAATAATATTCCACAGTATCTAGGGATCAAATTTTCCTTTCCATTCACACTGACATTTCAGTTGTTTCCATACATTAGATGGTGTAGGTAGTACTATATTGAACTTGGTTTTGCTACTATGTTTCAGAGATCCTAATTTTTTATTGTTGTTTGTGTACCCAGAATTGAGACTGATGGATGGTTTGATAATCACTCTTTAATTTTTGAAGAACACTCCTACTGTTGTCTGTATATGCGGTGCTATTTCCCCAGTCCAGTCAGCAGCACCCAGGACTGCATTTTCTCCATTTCCATGCCAGCACTCTTCTGTTTTTAGCTATCATAGCAGATATGAAATGGCATCTCACTGTGATTTTGATTTTTTTTCTTCCCTCATGACTAGTGATACCACCTACACATCTTTTCATATGCCTGTTGGTCATTCATCTGCAAACTCATCAGATAATACAAAAGACAGGGGTTTTCAGGACATGTGATTGGTTGTAAGCCAGGCTATGACCCATCTAAAGGACATGTGCAACCCTCTGAGCACTGGCCTAGCTTATATGAACTGGGACATCAAAGCTCTGTTACATCTAGCTTTGTGAGGCAATGAGACTTTGTCTTAGGCCACAGGATGGACAGGGATAGCCATCACAGTACAAGCTTCAACTCAGATCATGGACAGAAAACACCTGCCAGAAAGTATGAGTAAGACTGGGATGAGAAAGGAATTTGGGCCCTCCTGCCTTCTTATTGCTGTTATTCCAAACAGTCTCAGATATTTGATTCATACTTCCAACATTCTAATATGCTTCTTCAACTATCAGAGCAATGCTAAATTCTTTTTTTTCCTGCTTATGTGGTGCTGAGGAATCGAACCCAGGGCCTCATGCATACAAGGCAAGCAATCAACCACTGAGCCACCTTCCCAGCCCCTAGTGCTAAATTCTTTTAAAAAAAATTTTATAAACCATTATGTTACAAAATTTCCATTTAGCTGGCAAAATCATTTTAACTGGGTTCAAATGTATTTGTTTTGCTTTACTTATAAAAAGTGTTGTCATAGAAATGATGCCTTTACTTGTGTTTTTAAAAATTTGATCATGCTTCTCAAAGATGCCTATAGGTAAAGAGAAATAGTACTCCATAAAGATGTGTTACATACATCATGGTGGATATAAGAAAATACAGTGTAGATTATTCTACCCAAAACCTACGTCTGTCCTGAATTATTGTGGTAATTCCAGTTATGATTGTTTCTGTTTGTTTAGGAAAATGAGAAGACAAAATATGACACTATCTACATATGGTAATAGTGAATCTGTCATCACCTTTTAATTTGGTTTGCCATGAGCATGATCATTTTGCATCCTACTAGGATTTAATGTTATCTTGCCTCTGACAAGTCAGGTACTGGAATTCACCAGTGTTCAGGTAGGGCTGGGGGAACAGAGGTAGGCTCAGTCAGAAATTAACCAAACAGCAGATCATGAATGTCAAATGTGAGTTCTCTATTTTTAGAGTTGAAATGTGAGTTCTCTATATTTTAGCAATATATGAACTGAGCACCAAAGCCTCCCAGACCCAGGTGGACCTGCCAGCCTCCATGAGGCAGGAGCCCAGCCTCGTGGAGACAGGGACTTATGTGAGCAGACAAAGAGTGTTCAGGCATATGGGCAGTTATGGACAAGCTCGACCAGGGAATTGCATCTAACTAACCTTCACGCTGTAATGTGCCATGCTTAATGTCCAACCTGAACTCTGATTTCCTGTTCCATAAAGTCCTGGTGGTTGAACTTGGTTTGGTTACTTAGCGCCTGAACTTCCAAACCATCCTTCACAGTTAACTTCTTAAGGGGATTGTTTGCTATTCTCTATTCTCCCGTCAGGGAACAAAGCATAGAGTTCACAGAAAGGAAGATGTGATGGTTATTTCTCCTCAAGTAGTATATCATATGAGTCCTGAAAAGGACCTGGGTATTTTGTATTCCATGAATCACCCTCTTCTGTCATCCTCATGCTTTACTGTTCTATATTTGTAAATTCCTGAAAGAAGCAAGAAAGCTGAGGTAGGGAGAGATTATGCAACTGCATCCATCAGCGGAAGGCCTCGGTTTTGTCGTGATGGGTGCCAGTGCTTCTGTCACACAGAATCTGCCTGTAGCTGTGGCAGATTGGACAGGATTGGATTCTAGAATTGTGTGCTTTGTGTCCCTCTCCAGTGGATGGTATGTGGTCTTGCTGGTCATCCTGGTCAAAGTGCTCAGCCACATGTGGTGGAGGACACTACATGCGGACCCGCTCATGCACTAACCCAGCCCCAGCCTACGGAGGGGACATCTGCCTGGGACTGCACACCGAAGAGGCACTGTGTAACACACAGCCCTGTCCAGGTGAGCAGCACCACAGTACTTCATGACAGGGTTAAACTCACTCCTGTCCTCAATTTATAAATGGAGAAGTTGCTGAAGATGGGCAAGTTGCAAGCCAACCCCATACCACTGCCTTCAAGGTGACATTGTTTTCCTATTGCGTCAGCTGGGAGGTATATTCATGCACCCCACTATGCAGCTAGGAAATGTGCTCCACTTTGGCGTTGGCCATGCTAACTAGCACTAATACCTCTCTCAGGTAAGCACCTTACTGTGTTGAGCGAGAGGGGAGTGTGGAAAAAATAAATGAGAAAGAAACAAGCATTTGTGGAGAGACCTGAGTGGGGAGAATCGCCGCAGCCTCTTGTTTCACAGCCTGCTGGGGCCAGTCTGTGCCTCCTGTGACCCCCAACATGGCGTTCTAGAAACAAGTTCTAAGACAGTGCAAGAGGACAGCGTGCACTGCTTAAGAACCATCTTCCCAGAATCAGTGGCTGAACTTCAGAGGCTCTGCTTCAAGAGAAAGCATAAAGCATGAATGAAATCAAAACAGAAAGCAGAGGATTCATGGGAAGCGAGCTGTGGAGACTGCTTCCACAAAACATGTGACACTAAAACAGTGTCTGTTGGTAGAATCTGAGATTTTGTTGATGAAAGTCAGGGTGGGATGCAGGGTGAGCTCTTGCTAGCTGTGGACCCTAGCAGTAGCCTCAGGTCCCACAGTTAGAGGGGCTGCTATCACCTGGCTCGGGGGTGGGGGGTCTTTGGGGGGAAGGGAGGAAGGGTGGTGGGCTACAGCAGCTTCTCTGCCCAAGAAGTGGAGGAAAGTGTACCAGTGTTCTCTGTGTCTCGCCCTCACCTTGACACGCTCATAGATTACTGAAAAGGTGAAGCCAGATTTTCAGTCATTCAAAACACCAGTACTTTGTACATTTTGAAGGAACAATGGTTCCCTTTACTTGGTTCAAGACACAAGTTTATTTCCTAAATCTCCCTTCTCTACTGCATAAAAATGTCTTTTTAACTTCATTTAATATATCACAAGCAATCTTGAGGCGTCCGTTTTCATGTTCTTACACACATGTGCTTGTATGCACCTGCACACCTGAAGGAACCGAGCAGATCCCAGCAAATCTTCCACTTCTGGAAGGAAGTGATCTTTTGATTGCTCTTCTTTTGGCTTTGACCTAAGATTTGTGCATTGACCTCACACTCTTTAGCCCGTAGGCTGGAAATAAAATGAATTCTGCCCCATACCTTTGATATATTCCTGTGCAAGTTGTTTTATACCAGAGGAGAACGTGTTTTATCTTCCCTGATAGACTTCTCATTAACTCCCCACAGTGCAACTTCCAGCCTTTTCTGAGTATTTTATTGGAGACAAGAGTCTCACTACCTTTCCTTCCCGGGCTGGCTTCAAATCACGATCCTCAGATCTCAGCCTCCTGAGTAGCTAGGATGACAGGCTTGAGCCATCTTGTGTGTTCATCTTTGAGCTTATCCTTGTGTTTTTACTGGATTGTTCAGAGGGTATGACTGCATCACATTTATGCACAGAACTGTTAAAAAACTACTGTATGTATGTATATATGTGTGTACACGCACACACACATATGACTTGACATGACAGTGCTTCCAAGATGGTAACGATCTCTCCCCCTCCCCCGTCACTTCCTGGTCACTGCAGAGAGCTGGTCGGAGTGGTCAGACTGGTCTGCGTGTGACACCTCAGGCATCCAGATCCGAGCTCGTCACTGCATACTTCTGTTTCCTGTGGGCAGTCAGTGTTCCGGAAACACCACGGAGAGCCGGCCATGCGTTTTTGACTCTAATTTCATCCCAGGTGAGGGCAGAGATGTTTATCAGTGTGAACAAAATCATCCCAATGTTAGTGAGTAAGAACGATTTGTAGGTCAGAGATTTATCTCTTCTCCGAGGCTGTGTTGGGTAGAGTAGAAATGATTAAATCAACTCTTGTGGTTTCAAGGTGGTTAAAGTATAGATCTGTAGAGAACCACAGAGTTAGACTTGAAATTTAGCTCATGAGATTAAGACTTGTGGAGACTATGCTTTCCATACTTATTGACTGTATTAGAATAGTCAGAATATTTTATTCAGATTGAAAGTCGATTGTTTGGTTATTTTGGTCTTAAATGCTTTGGCAATGCTGTGTATGCTCGATTTTTCAGGGAAAAAAGGTCATTCTCTTCATGTAACCTTTGGTTGATCTGGGGAAATTAATACCTACCATTATTTTACACCTTGGAGGAGAAATTAGCTAGCCTTCTTGCCACAGGCTTTGCAGTGTGAAATTGGAGTCCAGTTTATGGGGTGCTAATCACCCCTTATATTTACCCAGGAGACCTGGTGCTTTGGACATAAGTAAATCTTTTACCATTACCTGCTAAGCCCTGTGGGACTGTGTTGTAGACCATCGTGATGAACAAACTCTGACCAAAGATGATAGGGTTTGGTTCTACCAGCCAAATTTGCTTTATTATTTCCCTCTGTTTGTGAAAAAGACATTAATACCTAAAGAAAGCAACTTACTATTGCCTTGTAAGGCACTTCTACCATATGTGGTATGGAACTACAAAAACGTTTTGCATATAGTCATAGTTTTAATTATTGAAAAATCAGTACAGGATAGCATTATATGTCTAGACTTCTGAAATACTGTATTTCTTGGGTTACAATGCCTAGAGGGCCTTCCTCTCACTAGCAACTTGATTCTGTATTTCACACACAGCATGGTAAGGGGCAAATGGACTCCTGAATAGTAACTCTGTTATGGCTGTTTCCTTTTTTGGGGGGGGAGGGTCCGGTCGTGGGACCTAAACTCTGAGCCTGGGCACTGTCCAGTCGTGGGACCTAAACTCTGAGCCTGGGCACTGTCCGGTTGTGGGTCCTGAACTCTGGGCCTGGGCACTGTCCCTCAGGTCTTCAGCTCACGGCTCGTGCTCTACCACTTGAGCCACAGCGCCACTTCTGGCTTTTTTCTTTTTGCTTATGTGGTGCTGAGGAATCGAACCCAGGGCCTCAGGCATGCAAGGCAAGCGCTCTACCACTGAGCCACCTTCCCAGCCCAATGTTATGGCTGTTTCCTATGAACTACGGCAAATTGGCCCCTACATCTTTCCCTCTGCAAGCAGTGTGACAAAATTGGCTTTTATGAAAATGAAGTAAAATGAAACTCATACCAGAACATAGTAAGGTCTCCTCAGCAAACAACATAGGGAGAAACAGACAATGAGCGAGTACCCTGGTTTCAACATTTTCTTTTTGAGATGCAGTTCTCTGCCCCTTCCTACTGCAGGTGACTTAGATGCATCTCAGGTTGATTAAAACAAATGAAAATACATATTTTTAAAAACCAATCAGCATCTGTGTAGACTTCCTTCTCAATAGCCTTTCTCTATTGTGATTGGACTTTTCTTTTCCCCAGAAGTATCGGTGGCAAGATCCAGCAGTGTAGAAGAGAAAAGGTGTGGAGGTAAGCTCCTTCTCCTGGTCATTTTCTTACTGGCATTCTTGCAGACTCCAACCATGTTTCTTTCGTCTGTTCTGTTTCTGCTGTTGGTCTAGGACACATTGAGGAAACTTCTAGATTGCAAACATCATTGCCTGGTGATAAATGTACATTGAACATACGGATCCGCAGGTCTCAAAGTCAGTTGGGTCATGAGGCCAGTGTTTCTATCACAATGTGCCAGAGACTAATAAATGCTTTGGGCAGAAAGTGTCTCCTCTGCTCCTCACAGAGTATTTCTGCATATAACGCAGTCCATGGTTCTTTACATAACAGCCTTGGACTCAGAGAAGGGTTTTGGAACTACTTGACACTTTCAGATTCTAGAAAAATGATTTGAGGCTTGTGCTTGTATGTTACGTAATCTCCATAGATTCCAGGCTATATAGAACCAACCTCTTTAACGATGGTGCCATGAGATGTGGGAAAAAATGAGATTCTGGGCAATAGTATCAGTCAGCTCAGCTCACCCTGCCCTGCCCCAGGAGTGGCAAAAGCCTACCTCTCAGCGGTTGTGCCATTAGGAATTGTGGGAAAGGCACTGGACGCCTGCATTTTATCTGCTTACAAGCTCCAAGGGGTGAGGCCATTGGTCCACACCCACAGTTCACACGGGCATCCGGGTGGGATCCTGGAAGTGAGAAACAGCCAGAGCACCACAGATGGGTCAGGTAGCAATTCTCACAGTCCCAGCTAGGAGACTGGGTCAGCGATGTCTGTTCTCAGGAGCCAACAAGTAAGGAACAGAATAGTTCATAAGGTATGTTTCCTTCCTCAGGAAGGACAAGGTAGACAGGGGGTAGGGGGTTGGAGGGGGTCACCCAGCCAAACTGACTGCTTGTTCTGTGCTTGTATTCCTCATTTCCCCAGCCACACCTCCCTGCTTTACTAAGTTCATTCAATGCCTTGAGCATACGGGAGGCCCCATGCAAAGCCCATTCATGTCTCAGAAGACTGTTTTTGGTGTCAGGACCACCTGTGCACCATTACTAGCCAAGCCAGATCCAACCTTGGGGATGCTATCGACTAATCCACAGAAACTGTAATTATGCCTTGCTATTTGGAATGGGCTGTCTTCAATGTTTAAGCTTCTGATGTTGGCATTCCAGCCTAAAACAAATAAGAGATCAGATAGACTGTAATGAAGGGCTAAGAGATGAAAACAAGTAATTACCTAGCTCTGGTGGCAGGGGATATGTAGGAAGAGAACAGAGATGTTTGCTCCGCTTGTTGAGAAAAAAATCAACCAAACTTGATGGGGGAGGGGGGATCATTCTCTTAAACTAACTGGGTTGTTGGTCTCTATTCCATTTTTATTGACCCCAGAACAGCAACATAGGGGGAAAAAAGCATATTCAAAGGCAAGAGGCACAGTAAAGCAGATTCAAAAGAGATTTAATAGGCACTATTTTTCCCTCTGCAGAAAATATGCCCCTGTTGAGCTTTCTCAACTTAGCTATTTTTGGTTGCAGGAGACACAAAGCCTACGTTATTGTCATAAAGATGTCAGGTGCCCCAGAGTCCCCAGACACCTGCGGGCATGATTCATTTAACTATTGACAAAGTGTCTGCATACGGACACCATCATACATCTTCTGCGTGTTGTGATGAAATATGAGTTATCAGTGCAGTGGAAAGTATTTTTTATCGCTATGTGGCACTGACCCTGGGGAGTTCTAACAGCTAAAGTACAAAGAAATGAAAACTCCAGTGAAATGGCACTTGCTTACTTTAAGTGCAGCTTCAGTGAGTGTTACAGTCAAAACATTCTAGAGCCCAACTGTCACAAGCTGACAGTTCTCCGTCTCCAGAGGATCTGTGGACATACCCAGGAAAGGAAAGGCCAGAGGTCAGTGAAGCAAGTCCTTCCACGGTCTTGCTGCCGTTGATTAAGCTAGCAGTGGAAGAGTGAAGTAGGTACTGTGGGGCGTGCTGACTACGTCCCTGCATTGCCCAGCATGCAATGCCCAGCCCTCTGTGTTAGGAGCTGCACCAGCTCTTGTTCAGTGCTGACAAGGGGATTGTGAGTGAACCCAGGAGGAGGTGGCTTCGTTGGCTCAGGAGGCATGGCTAGCTGTCAAAGCCTCAGGCTCCTGAAAACCTGAGTAGAAAGCCACCCAGGGAAAGCTCAGAGGAAACCAGAGCCTCTCACCTGTTGGGGGTGACAGCCACGCGTCTCCCCCATGACTTCCTGTGGCGTCTATCAGCCACTCCAGGGTTCATGGTGAGCAGGAAGGACTCAGTCAGACCCCTGGGGAGGGAAGTCCCGGCGTGTGCTGGACTTCTGGTGAAGAGTAACCTAATGAGCTTAACACCCAGAGTTACAGCCAAGTGGGCCTTGGTGGCTGACTTTCCTAAGTGCTCGGGCTGGGCACAAGGATTCCAAAGCACAGGAAAAGCAGCTGTGAATGCTCAGGGAGGAGGCCGCAGTGGCAGACACGCCAGCCCTCCAGGCACTTCAGGGCTCTCCTCTCCCTGCGAACCAGCATGCTCTACTCCATGACCAGGACCATGTGTGGAGGCCCAGCAGGCATCTCCAGAGCCATACTTGGCCCAGGGCTGACAGGCCACAGTTGGACTTCTCCCAAATGGCACCCCAAGGTGTACGGAGGGGACACCTGGGGAACGCCGGGTGTCCCCTGGATGTGCTCTGGTTCTGAGAGCACTAACCATGGGTAGCTATTCACATGATGCTATTGCATCTTATAGGGAGGGTATGTCTAACTTTCTGGGACTCTCGCTAAGCTCAGCTCTGGGCCTGGCCCATGTGCTACTACCCAGATACTCACAGAGCATTGCTGTAATGTTTCCCATGGGGAGGCCTGCATTCTTCCCTAAGGCTGCTCAGGTCCTACCAGACTTTGTACCACTGAAGCCATTCCTGTTTTGGAGTTGTAAGGCTGAGGCAACTCCTTGTTTTTGGATGTTTTATTCTCATGGAAAGTAAGTAAAGAGAAAGGCAGTAGGTCAGAAGAGAATTACCTTGTGGCTACTGAAAAGACCATGTTTTATTTCTTTAGCAAAAATCTTGCACTGCTTTAGAAGAAGCCAATTTTTTCATAAAATCACAAGTATGCAAGTATAAACACGGTGCACCGTGCAGAGAGCAGGCAGTCTTGGCCATCTGCAGGAAGGCTCAGGCGTGGGAGAAGCAAGACTTGCATTGCACTCAGGACTCAATGAAGTTAGTAAATTGTACGATACTCGTATGAACAGTAGAGTGGATGACATTAGGATGCGTCTACATGGGAAGTATTTTAAGCAAAACAAAATAACTTTTAAAAAGAGAGGACTAAGGAGTCATTCACAGAGGAGAGCTTCTTTCTGGTTAGCAGGAATGGGAAGCAGGCAATGGGTTCTTACTCTGACCTCGGCCACAGCATGCTAGAAGCTCAGCTGCTAAGAGACCCGAATACACAGCTCCATGAGAACCTGGTAGGGCAGAAACAATCGTGATGCTCTTGAAACACAAAAACTGTGACACAAGCCTCCAAAGAAAATCCTCTGCTGGTATAGAAAGGCTTAAAGATGCAGTGCATGGACTTTGAACCCACGAGCGCGTGTGTGCACAGTGCTCACTGTGAAGAGATTTCTTTGTGGCCCTGACATTTCCCAGGAGAGGTCTCTGATTCCTTAGTGTAGGAATCCACATGGGCTTCTTTTGTTTTTGCTTTTGGAGCAGCTAGGTAGGTAGCAGGTTCTTTTCCAGCGTGGTCTCACTTTGCTCCCTCCCGCAGAGTTCAACATGTTCCACATGATTGCCGTGGGGCTCAGCAGCTCCATCCTCGGCTGCCTGCTCACTCTGCTTGTCTACACCTACTGCCAGCGGTACCAGCAGCAGTCCCACGACGCCACGGTCATCCACCCCGTCTCTCCCGCGCCCCTCAATACCAGCATCACTAACCACATCAACAAACTGGACAAGTATGACTCGGTGGAGGCCATCAAGGTAAAGAACTGACAGTGAAGGCAGGGGGACCCGGAGCTCTGTGATAGTGGCGGCAGCCCTGGGAAGAGTTGGAGATGAGTTAAGGGGCCCTTCTCTAGAGCAACTGCATTTTTAGCTTTGCTTTGCCTGTGTGAGAACATAGTGTCTCCTGGGAATGTAAGTGAAGAAAGGGAAATGAATAGCAACAGAGTAAGTATGAGAAGATCACCTCATCCACGATTTCTGAATCTGGAGAAATCTTACAACAGAAAGCAGTCCCCGGTCACGGGGACTGTACAGGTGCACTGCAGTAAGGGGGACAGAGTCAGAAAGGAGCTAGCCACCTCTCTTTCAAAAATGCTCCTGGACTGCATCGTTCACGTGGGTATAACAATCCATACAGTTTTACCCCAGCAAACAGTAGCTGTGGCTCTTCCTGAGTCTCCAAAACGGGCCGGGATGAGGCTGACAGACCCAGCACGCTCTTTTTACCCGCACAGATGAGCCAGAGCCTCAGCACATGCTCCTCACAGGGAGATTCCAGCACCCAGACCTCTTGAGGTCTTTTTATGTTAGGTAGCAGAAGACAGTAAAATGAGTCTGTTTCTACCTACCATCCATAGCTTATCAGAATGCTGCTTTAGTGGCAGGGCATGTGATCATGTAGTCTGTAATCTTTGTAACTCTAGAGGCAGTTCAAGGCTAGCCCAGTCAGAAAGTTCCTGCGATTCCATCTCAACTGTACCTGGGATATCCATCCCTCTTATTCCAGCTACATGGAGAGCATAAATGAGAGGGTCACAGTTCAGAGCAGCATAAACATGAGACCCTATTCAAAAATCAAGGGACGCAAAAGGACCAGGGACATTGCTCAAGTGTCTTCCTGGCAAGTATAAAGTACTCAGTTCAAACCCAATTTTGTGTTCACAAAAAAAAAATAAAATTAAAAAAAAACAATTACTCCCTGCAAACATGTAAGGCTTTCAAGGGAAAAATATTTAAGAGCACAGACAGCTGACTAGGATTTGTTGAATCCTTCTGAAACTTTCTTCCAATACCTGGCCCAAAATAATTCTGGAAATCTTTTACTTCTGTCTACCCTGCTTCATTTTTAGCTTTACCCTGTCAATACTTAACCTCTACCTGTCATGACTTAGCTCTTTGAATTTGCGGATGGCTTTAATGGCTGTTAATGAGGCAGGGCATCTGTGTCACAGATGGCCATGGTGGTTACCTTCTGATGAGGGCAGAATGAAGAGAAATTTGGCATTAGGATTACATCATTAAATATTCATTGTAGATACTGCCAATGACTGTCCCTACCCATGGAAATCCAAAAGCTACTTTAGTATAGACTTAAGTATATGTGCTAATACTCATAATTAGTCCATTAACTTGAAAATACTTGGGTTTTAGACTTTCTGGAGATTTAGATCTGGGTTTTCTTTCTCTCACTTCTTTTCTGACTAAAGTCTCAAAATTGATCGGAAGATATTAAAGACAGCCGAGTCCACTGATACTATTAGGCAAATAACTTGAGGAATCAATAAGTGCGAACATACTTTTAAAAGTAATGGCTCTCCTTGGGAGAGATCAAACTCAATACAATAGTCCTAATTGTGTTCCTTCTGAAATATGACTTACTTAGCATTCTGAAATGCTTTTAAATGTATTTTACAGGCATTTAACAAGAACAACTTGATCCTGGAGGAAAGAAACAAATACTTCAACCCACATCTCACTGGGAAGACCTATTCCAATGCCTACTTCACAGATCTCAATAATTACGATGAGTACTAATAGCTCATATAGTTTTTGGCTTCTTGTAAATCCCCTGTTTTGCGAAGCCTGTGCTACATGACCGCCCAAGTTCCTGAGGCTTCAGATAGGATGCTTGGATCAAGTTCAAGTGCATTTCTAGCCAAGATTGTCCCATTGCTACCAAAAATACGCTCCTTGTAAGCAACAACAACGAAATCTAAGTGTAACTTGGTGAAAATCTGGTCTACAACAAACCATCGAATGAGCGGCAGTGTGAAGTGTTTTCATTTCTGTTTTCATTTTTAATTGGGTCCATCGCCGTGCTCTAACAGATTGGTTATTTTCATTACTTCGTTTTACAAAGGTACCACTCAATTTTAGGAATGAAAAGTCATCTGCCCTTTGAGTACAAGTCTTCACGTGATTTGAATTTGACAAAACACGCACTTTACCCGAGATGCCCCTCCCTCCACGCAGCTGCTAGCATTTGCCCTCGTGAAGACCGTGGATTCCGGCCATGGGGATGATTCTCACCCAGGCCCTAGGACCCCGGGGCTTGTCTGACTTGCACCTCCTGCAGCCTGACCGTGGGCATTCTGTGCATCATCACCCAGGAGTGAGCAGATGGAGCCCAGGGAGCCCCACATTTCCCATCTACCTGCGCAGAAATATCTGGAACATTTAGGGTACCGATTTGAGAAAGTATTGAAAGTACTGCACAGCAATGAACAATGACTGTTTAAATGTCTTCTGTGGTATTATACCAAGTGTTGAAAGATGTGAGACTGAGACGCAGGCCTCTTTCCTTTCTCTTCCACCTCCCTGGTGTAGCTGATGTATGGCAAGTACCGTGGAGAGCCCATCCTCCAGGCAGGAAGTGAGGTCCCAGTGCCCCCGGGCAGGGGGGGCACAGGGCTGGACTCAACGCCTTTTCTTTAAGTCCACCCTGTGCACCATGCTCACCTCACCCGGCCCCTCCCTCCTTGGAGGCAATGGTGGTTCAAGTTCACCCTGAGAAGTTTGGGGCTGAAAATGAGAGGTCAAACGATGCTTGTGGTCTCAACCTTTCATCTTTGGTTAACATTTCCAAGTATTTATAAGACCATTCCTCGAGGTTCCCCCAAACAATCAGTGTTACTCCTTAACATCTGACACACAGCATATGGCAGTCATGTGAACAGTAAAGGCAGCATTGAGAAGGTTCGTCTGCCCCCTGTGGCCCTTATGATAAATGCCTAAATAGACATTAATACCTGTTCCTATGGGTGAAAGAAACTGCCAGTCTGTGAAGAGGTGCATTCTGGGAGGTGAGGAACACACGTTTTGTAGCGTATGTTTTACCCAATATTTGAGGTAAAGAAGAAGTCTCAGAAAGTGTTAGAAAAATCCTGAAAATGAAATTCTGGAGTTCAAAATATCTTCAGATAAACCAGATTTGCAGACATGGTGAAAACGGCAGGTGGGCTGCCTGAGGTCTTGAGGAGTCTGCTGGTGAGATTCTACAGGGCCTCTGACACGGCAGCGTTCTCGGTCACACTCCTGCAGTAAAATCCAGTCACACAAATATAGCAGATCCCTGCCTGATTGATTCTTCTGAACTGATGGGAAGCGTCAGCTCATCTGAATCACTTGTTTGTTAAGGAGAAATTCCTCATTGTGTAGCACATAGCTTTTGTTTTGTTTAATCTCCCCCTCCTGAATATTTTCTTAGCTTGAAAGGTCATCTTATTTTTCTTGCAAAGGATACTAATATTTCAAGAACTTGTCACTGGACTAGATGAGAAATGCTTTCTAAATGGCATCCAAACTGGACTTTAATCCATCTTACTTCATGACCCAGCCTTCCCCACTCCCCAGGGGGATTCATTTCATGGATAACACACAGAGTGAAAAGGAAGCAAGACTCACTTCTAGTTCCCTGTCTCTCTGGTTTCCTCGATTTCCTCGCCACCACTCCCTTCCAGGCTGTTCTATTATTGATGAGAGTAGCAGGTGGTTTAGTATGATTTGAGTTAGCTTTTACTTTAAAAGTATTTTTATGATTGTCTACTGTTTTCTTTGAGAATTTCCATGATGCTTTCAAGCCCCTCGGTCAATTTGGCCCCAGGGCAATCAGCTTTCTCTAGCTTTGAGGTGCCCTTCCGTCTCAGGGAGGCTTCCTCATTCTGAGTGGAACATGGGCTAACTCTACTAAGTACACTACTACTGCCACAAAAGAAGCCTGTGGGCCTCCAAACAGAGACCGCAGCCGCCAGTGTTCACACAGTATTCACGCTGCCACTTTTGCAAGTGATGTGACGATGTTGAGCCCTACTGTTCTAGTAATTTAACCATTTTTTAAAAGACATTTAGTTAAAACAGCAACCTTGAATCAACTCAGCTGCAAACTGTGGAATTCACAGATGGCTCTGGTCACGCCCAACACAGTCAGTCGCCCTCACACTCCCGTTATGTTGATGTAGCACACCCATATGTATGTGATCACCTGTCATCCTCCTCTGTGATTACCTAACGTTATCATCGATCAGATTCTAGAAGCCATTTCCAGCACCCTGCATCTTTGGGCAATGGGTGTGGATCATAAAGCTTCATGTTCATTTTGACCTAAGAAATGCACAAAAGGGCCTACTATGCACAGTATATTGCTATGGCTATCCACCATTCGCACATTTACTTCTGCTATTCCTTCTTATTGTGATCATCAACTCAATTTGGTTTAAAAGCATTTCATAACTCTACAAATACTGAGCCAAGGCCTTCATGTTGTCTGTTCTGATAACCTAATAAAGGAAAATATTACTTTGATCCTTGCTTCTTTTCCCTTTTAGAAATTGAAAAGCAGTGAACAAGAGATCATATTGAATTCTTGGTAGCAACTTTGACAATGGCTCATATAACATTACAGATACACATTTATTAGGAGAAGGATCAAAATGCTCTTTTTTGAAATTTTTCATTACTCATCACATTAACAGAAATGTGGCATATATTATAAAACATCAGGAATGCAGATCTGTTCTCATTTTAAAATATAGTTCACACTATGAATTACATAGAAACCCATGAAAACCGAATTCAGAGCCTGCCCAAAGTTCCCTATGGAATCCTTTTGTTAGAATGTAGTCTTTTTTTTTTTTTTGTCGGTCATGGGGCTTGAGTTCTGGGCCTGGGCACTGTCCCTGAACTCTTCAGCTCAAGGCAAGCGCTCTACCACTTGAGCCATAGAGCCACTTCCAGTTTTCTGGTGGTTTATTGGAGATAAGAGTCTCACAGACTCTCCTGCCCAGACTGTTTTTGAACCATGATCTTCAGATCTCAGCTCCTACATAGCTAGGACTACAGGCGTGAGCCACCAGCACCAGGCTAGACTGTAGTCTTTTTAAATGATCCTGTTCTGCTACATTCAAGTCTGTTCCCCATGCTCACTCATACTCTACTGTGTTCACCTAGTGAATGAACATAGCTAGTCAAGGACATGTTCAAATCCAGAAGGAGAAAAGCTGAGGTGAAAACACAGTCTGTGGCATTTCTAAACCAAAATGTAAGTTGGGCAAGAAAGTCACCTCTTCTTATCTCATCAGAAATCTGAGGCCAGTGTTTCATTGTGACCCTCTCCTTGCTCAGATTTCTAACTCCTGTCAACTAGTTCAAATGTTAAATAAACACGAGTAGAGAGAAAATCTGGATCCTGGAAAATGGTAAAATTTTTCTGTCATACTTAAAGCAATGTTGAGCTGTCTTCTCTACAAATGCAGATGATTTACTTCCTTGTACAGAGTTGCTAGTGCCTTGTTTAAATGATGACTCGTCGTTACCACTGGGTGTACTTGGTTGCCAGGAGAAGCAGAGAGTTGATTGGAGAGTTGGAAGCCGATCGCCTGCGTGCCTCTCTGAACTCAGGAATAGAAAGTGGCCAAGAATCTCAGAGCGGGACAGTGGTGTGTTCAGAACTGAGGCTAGCACACTCAGCTTCCCACAGGTTGACTTCACATGATTTCATCTTCCAGAAAGCTCTTGTGTCTGTTCTTAATGGGAATGTCAATATGATGCCTGTGAAAGTCAGAGGGTTTGTTTCTGTGGCTATAGGAAAATCAGACATAGGCTGCCAACAGCTGGTAGAAGACAATAAGGATGGAAAAGAACCACCTAGAAAACTGCCTGCTATATTTCATCATTTTATTCCAATGTCAAAACTCACACACACACAAACACACACATGACAAAACAGCCAATCAAATGTTTTTTATGCTAAAGTTGATTGGTTTTATCTTATTCCGTGACTGGAGTAAAATCAAACTTGAAACTTGAACTTCTGCACTTCGAAAGAAAGCATAGCAGAAACCTTCGTCCCAGGTTCCCAGAAGCACCACTCACGCCCTCACCATTGGCCAGAAAATGCACAAGCGAGGTCCAGTGTTGGATTTTTCCAGTGTGTGGCAGAAGTTATGTGTGATGCCACTTGGTTTGACTTTAAACATGTTATGGCTTATTTTGTGTTTATATGCTGTTGCCTGTTTTGTGGTACAAAATAAACTTATTTGAGATGGTTTCTTTATAATTTTTCTTTCATTGAAACTGCTCCAAAATAACTTCAACAATTCATCAACTAACTTGCAGAGAGTTAGTGATCTCACAATTAATTGTAATAGACAATGTTGACTAATGATAATAACAGCCTTTTCAAGAGTGAAATAGCTTTGCATTTCTCCTCCATTGGAATGAGAAAATGGAATTTTCTCTGTGGGACTGTTGGTGGGTTGTTTTTGTGTTTCCTCACAAGTGATTGCACACCACACTTTTTTGAAAATTTTCAATTCCGACATTTGGTTTTTAAGATTCCCTTTGAACCTTTTTAGACATGAGCCAGTGCATTTTCTAGTGGTATTACATTTTTTATTTAGTTTCTGTTAGTCACTTTTCTGGTCTTAAATTTACTGACACCTGATACAGTGTTATCAGGAAATATCAGTTTAAGGCCCTAATTGTGGTAATCTAGGAAGGGGCTTATTCTTTCTTGCATTGGATTAAATGTGGAGCTTCAGGAAAGAGGTGAATGGGGTATTGGGGCCTTCCCCAGATATCATTAGAACCTACCTGCTCTACACAGTCATAAACCTGCAACTGGCCATGGTTCCAGCAGTGAAAATGTGTGCTCACTAACCTTGATGCATTACCAAGATCTTCATTTCCACCCTATTCACTTTTTTAAACAATTCACAAAGAATCTCTGAATACTACCCTATGCCGCCATCTTCCTTCTCTAGTCCCCCCTCTTATTCTCCTTCTCATCTCTTTCTGCCAACATTCAAGGGAGGGAGACAAAGTCAGAGAATCCTAATTATGTACAATATAAAATGTATTATATTTTTTGTACTTATACTTTATGTAAATAATTTGTCTCAGTTATATGTGAGTATTACAATAAATCCTACCATTTAGGAAACAACTTAGTAGCTTTTCTTCTTTGCCTAGCTCCCAAGTACACTGCGCCCTGAGATGCACTAAAGCTCCCTGGAAGATCCAGTCCCATAGAGTGAGACTGTGGCGTGGCTTCTCGACAAACCCCATGACAAGCTCTCATTTTACCTTCTGGTCCTCAGGGACCTGGAGGGGGTGGGGATGGGGTAACAGAACAGGATCATGCAGACTTGAGAGGATGTTGAAAGAACTTGCAGAAAAATGTCCGGGGCACTAAGAACTACATGATAAGGAAGGACAATGTATTTTCTGTTTACAAGGGGTGGGTACCGGGCCTATTGATGATGGATTGAGTGGTGTCAAGTACACCATCACAAGGTGGTTCTTGAATGCACAGCTACAGATACTT